CTCAAACTCCTGGGCTCAAGCAATCCTCCTGCCTTAGCCTCCTGAGTAGCTGGGATTACAAGCATGTGCCATTGGACACAGCATAGAAGTACAATTGATTTTTGTACATTGACCTCATTTTTAGTTTAATTTATTGTTATAGTAGTTATTTTTGCTGAATTTGGGAGTTTTCTATGTATATGATCAAGTTGTCTGCAAATATGAGACAGTTTTACTTCTTTCTGAAACTCTTGCATGCATTTTATTTCTTTTTCTCAACTTACTACACTATCTAGGACACTCTAATATAATGTTGAATGACAATTGTGAGAGTGAGCGTGCTTGGTTTGTTTCTCATCTCAAATGCAGAATATTTAGTCTTTCACCATTTCGTATTATGTTACCTGTAGGTTTTTGGTTATACTCTTCATCGGGTTGAGAAAATTTCCTTCCATATGTAATTTGCTGAGCCTTTATCATGAATGAGTTTTTATCATGAATGGGTGTTAAATTTTGTCAAATGCCTTTTCTAATATGGCTGGATTTGAACTGCTAGTAATTTGTTAAGGATTTTGCATTGATGAGGAATATTGATCTGTAAGTTTTGTTTTTTCTTATGTTTTTACTTTGTAATCTTTGATCTGGTTTTTGTGTTGAGAGTAATACTGGCCTCATAAACGGATTTGTAATATATTCCTTTCATGTGTAGACTTGGTATTATTTCTTTATTAAATGTTAGGTAAAATTTACCAGTGAAGCTATCTGGACTTTTTCATTGTGGGAGTATTCTTAATAACAAGTTCAGTATTTAAATTATTTACAGGGCTATTCAGATTCTCAATTTCTTCTTGTGTTGATGTGCAGAAGAGTTAACCTAGTGGGCCTGTGGATACTGTCCTTATAAAGACCTGCTTATAAGGTTGGCCCTTGGCTGATGGCTGGAAACTTGGATTTTGAGTGCGTTCTCACCATTTTCTAACTGATAAACATGGCTCACTGTGCCTGAACTGTTAGTATAAGCAATGTGGTTTATTCTGAATATCCGTTTCCTTTCTGAGAGTCTAGAGTTTTGGCACATGTTAGGCAGAGGGTGCCTGCATGAGTACCCTCCCCGCCACCCCCCAAAAAACCTTGGGCACTAAGTTTCTAATGAGCTTCCCTGGTAGACAAAGATTTACGTATGTTGTCACAATTCGTTGCTGTAGGAATTAAGGTGTCCAATGTGACTCCATTGGGAGATGACTCTTAGAAGCTTTTACCTGGTTTCTTCCAGACTTCAACTCGTGCTTTTTCCTTTGCCTATTTTGGTTTGTATTCTTTTGCTATAATAAATCTTAGCCATGAGTGAGAGTATATGTTGAGTCCTGTGAGTCCTACCAATGAATCACTGATCCTGATGGTGGTCTTGGGGACCCCCAACACAGTCATTTTGGGTAATTTTTGTCTTTCAAGGAGCTTGTCCTTTTCATAAGTTATCAATTTATTGGCTAAGAATTGCTCATAATATTCTCTTATTATTATTCTGTAGGATCAGTATTGATATCCCTGTGTCATTCTTGATATTGGTAATTTGTATCTTTCTCTTTTTTTCTCTCCTCCCCCACCCCCGATATCTGTCTATCTTAGTTTAGTTAGAGGTTTTTCAGTTTTATTAATCTTTTCAAAGAACCAGGTTTTGGTTTCATTGCTTTTCCTCTCATGTTTATTCATTTGCTATTTCATTGACTTTTACTATTATTAATAACATTCTTTCTTCATTCTGTTTACTTTGGGTTTAATTTGTTTTTCTTCTTCTAGCTGCTTAAGGTTGAAACTTAGATAATTATTTGCCCTCTTTTCTAATATAAGCATTTAAAGCTAAATGCTTTCCTCTAAGCACTACTTTAATTGCATCCATGAATTATATGTAGTGTTTTCATTTTCATTCAGTTGAAAATATTTTAAGATTTTTCTTGTGCAATCTTTTTTGACCCATGGGTATGAGTATGACCCATTAGAAGTATGTTGTTTAATTTCCCAATATTTGAGAATTTAGTTTCCCAATATTTGAGAATTTTCCAAATACCTTTCTGTTAATGATTTCAGATTTAATTTGATTGTGGTCAGGGAAAATTCTAGCTAAGACTCATCTTTTTAAATATATTAATGCTTGGTTTTTTTGCCAAGCATATTGTTCTTGGTGAATATTTCATATGCTGTTGAAGAATATGTATCCTGCTATTGGCTGGTGGAATGTTTTATAAATGTCAGTGAGGTCAAGTTGGTTGATAATGTTATTCAAATTCTCCATCCTTACTGATTTGTGTGTGTGTGTGTGTGTGTATGTACTTGTTCTATCAATTAGTGGGAGAAGAGTGTTGAAACCTTTAATTATAACTGTGAATTTATCTTCCTATTTTCAGTTCTGTTGGTTTTTGCTTCTTGTGTTTTTAAGCTCTGTTATTAGGTTTATGATTTATGATTGTTATGACACATTTATGGTTGTTATGACTTCCTGATTAATTGACCTTTTTATCATTATGAAATGTCCATCTTTATCCTAGTAATATTTCTTGTCCTGAGGTCTCTTTTGTCTGATACTAATATAGCTATTTCATCTTTTATGATTAGTGTTTGCATTATATTTAATATATCTTTCTCATCTTGTTACTTTTTTAATGGGAGTATTCATTTTTTTATGTTGAATAAATAACATGAGGAAGTCCTTTATTTTCTCTTTATTTGAGAACTATTTGTATTTTGTTGTAGTAAAATATACATAACATATAGTTTACTATTTTAATCACTTTTATGTGTATAGTTCAATGGTATTAAGTACATTCACAAGTGGGCATGGTCTTACACCAATAAAATTATATTTAGGAAAACAGGCAGCAGGCTAGATTTGGCCCTTTGGCCATATTTTGCCAACTCCTGCTCTGGAGTGTAATTTATTTTAGTATATTTTCAAATAATATTATACCAAATTTATGATAAGGTAAGAAACTTACAAAACCACATTATCATTTTCTCCCTCCAGTCCTTTGTGCTATTGGTATCATACATTTCACTTCTACATGTTATAAACCCCACAATATATTATTTATTTTACTCTTAATGGTCAATTACATGATAAAGAAAATTAAAATTAGATAAAGTATCTTTTATATTCATCACCATATTTACTGTTTCTGTCACACGTCATTCCTTTGCATAGATCCAGGTTTCCACCTGTTACCATGTTCCTTCATCCTGAAGAACTTCCTTTAACATTTCTTTTTGTGTATATCTGCTGGTAAGGAATTCTCCCAGCTTTTGTCTGTCTGAAAAAGTACTTAATTCTCCTTAATTTTAAGGATACTTTTACTGGATATAAAATTCTAGATCGATAATCTTTTCCTTTCATTAATTTTAAGGTGCCATTTCCATCATTTTCTTGCTTGCTTTGCTTCTGGCAATAAGTCTGGGACAATTCTTATGTTTATAATCCCTCTTTATAAGTGTCTTTTTATCTCTGGCTGCTTTTAAGATTTTTCCTTCATGACTATTTTCAAGCAGTTTGATTACGATGTACCTTGGTATGGTTTCTTTGTATGTATCTTTCTTTAGGATTTATTGCATTTCTTGGATCTGTGGGTTTATAATTTTCATCAGATTTGGAGAATTTTTGGTCATTATTTCTTCAATTTTTTGTTTCCTTCCCCCTCCTCTCCTTTGTGGGACTTCATTTACACATGTTAGACTGCTTGATATTGTCCTACAATTAATTCCATCATCTCTGTCATTTCTGTGTGTGTTTTTATTGCTTTATAAAAGGTAACAGGTTACTTCTTCCTGCTTCTCTACCTGTCTAGTAATTTTTTATTGGACTAGAACATTTTGAATTTACATTGCTGATTGCTAGATTTTGGAATGTTGAAATTTCGCAGGCAGTTAAGTTACTTGCTGCTGATAAGCTTCATTATTTTGAGGCTTGTTTTTAAATTTAAGGGAGAATCTAAAATAGCCCTTACTCTAGGGCTAGTTTAAACCTACTAGTAGGGCATGATCCCTCTGGGTTCTCTACAAAGTGTCTCAGGTATTTAGTAAGTTCTTTCCACTCTGGCTGGTTGGAACCCAGACCTGTGGGAGCTCTGGGAATTGTTCAGCTTACAGCTCCCCTGTAAGTCTTTATGGACTTTTACTCCTCACATGTCTAGTTTAATATTCAGCAACAGACTAAATAGGCAGATACCTGGAACTCTTTTTCCGCATAGTTCCCTCATCTTCAGTATTCTGCCTTACAAATTAATATCGACCTCAGCCTCTCCAAACTCTGATCCCTGTCTTGCCAACTCAGTGAGACCATCTTACTTTACTTTGCAAGAGTACTTCCTCCTTGTGCTGTGGTGTAGAGTGTCCAGGCAATAAGCCTGAGTAATCATAAGGTTTATTCATCTCATTTTTTCCTTTCTCTCAGAGAACACATTTTTTCACCATATGTAGTCCATTGTCTGAAAGTTGTTGTTTCATACATTTCATCTAGTTTTCTAATAATTTACAAGAAAATTGGTAAGGCAAGTCAGGACTCTGACATAGCTAGATGCATAAGTCTAAATTTTAAAAATCAAATGCCAAGTAATCTAGGGAAGTGTACTATCTTAAAGAGCTCTGTAATTGGTCCCTTTTAAAGCAAATATTTTTATTTTTGTAATATACGTATACTTTTTATTAAATAGATATTCTTAATACATGTGCTCATTAACTTATTTAATTCATTCTTTTACCTATGTACTTATTCAATAAACATTTATAGAATATCGTCTATGTGTCACATACTGTGGAAGATTGTGGGAATACTATGAAAGAGACACATATGATGTTCCAGGGAACTTCCAATCCAGTAGAAGAAATGGTTTAAAAAGCAATTGTAGTGTAATGTGGAAAGTGCTTAAGTAGCAGCATATCTAGAGCAGATTAGTGGCAGAAAGGAAGGAGAGATGAACTCTACTTAGGTGAGGAGGGGATTCTCATTACTGATATCACCTGGACTACTCTGGCACTCTCCTAATATATCTCTCTGCCTCCTGTCTTGTCTCCCTTTAACTCAGTGTTTTGCAGACTTCCTAGGTGCAACCTATCAGTGATTCATAGAAATTAGTTTGGTGGTTTGTGACCAGCATTCTTTTAAAAATGAGATAGAAAACATTAGAATGTATCATAGTAAGTATTGTTTGGTATACTCATTGAGTTATAAAACATATTTCTTATTGCTGATTTCAGACAGTGAAGTTTGGAAAACATTAACATATCCTTTATACTGCAGGCAGAATGGTCTCTTCAGTCAGATCGTGTTATTTATTCCTTGTTTAAAACACTTCAGTGACTTCCCAGTGTCTTCCTGGTAGAGCTGAAACTCCTTGGCATGCTATATTAGACCCTTAATGACTTAGGCCCAGCTTGCCTCAAGCCATCTCTTTCTATTCCTCTCCCAGCATCTAAGCTCTAACTAAACTGTATCACTTATAGTTCCTTGAACAGATTCTAATCTTGCTTGCTCTCAAACATCTATATATACCATTTGTTCTCCCTGGAGTGCCTCCTTATCCCCATGGATGACTCTATATTATACTTCAGGTATGTTTAGTTATCACCTTTTCTCAGAAGCCTTCCTGACTCCCCAAAGCAGGAAAAGCACTGTTCGTCTGTGTGCCCATAGTAGGCTGTTATTTCTTTTCCTATCTTAGTACCAGACTATAAGTTTTTTGAGGGCAGGGACTGTATTTTGTTCATCATTGTATCCCAAAGCTTAGTGCAGTGCTTCACATGTACCATGGCTTAATATTAGGTCATTAAATATGAAATGTCTGATTACAGATGAAAAGTGTACATTATATCTCAAGCAGTACAATCAAAGTATGCGCCTAAACTATGAACACGGTTTTGCTATCTTAACCGTATCTTGTTTATGCCAGCAGTGAAGAAGCCTGGAGAATGAGTGGCCATGAAATCACAAAAGGCGTTTTCCACAGCTTTTCGAGAATTGAATATTTTTCCTTTCAAGAAGTGGTCCAAAGCCTGGAGGGAAGTGGTAGTCAGTTGTTGCAAGGTCTGGTGAATACGGTGGATGACAGAGAGTTTCCAAGTCTAGCTTCTGTACTTTAAGCAGCATTGTTTTTTGTGACATATAGTCTTGCAGGAGAATTGGCCTGTCTCTGTTGACCAATCTCGGCTGCTTCATGGCAAGCATCATCATTTCATCCAGTTGGTTGCAGTAGACATCCGCTGTAATTGATTTACCAGATTTCATAAAGCTGTAGTGGATAACAATGCTGGACCACCAAACACACTATTAGATTTTGTTGCTGAATGTTTGGTTTTGGACTGTGTTTTGGCACTTCATCTTTATCCAACCTTTGTGCTGAACACTTGGGATTGTCAAAAACAATCCATTTTTCATCATATGTAACCATATGGTGTAGAAATGGTTTGCTTTTATGTTGCGACAGCAAAGAAAGGCAAGCTTCGAGACGATTTCTCTTCCGAGGCTCATTTAATTCATGCAGTACCCATCTATCCAGCTTCTTTACCTTGCCCATTTGTTTCAAATAGTCCAACATTGCTGGAATAGTAACGTCAAACCTTGCTACTAATTCATATGTAGGTTGAGATGGATTCACTTCCACTTACAGCTTTCAGCTCATCGTTAGCCCCCTTGGTCTCAGGTCACCCACATGACTCATTTTCAAGAATAAAATCACCAGAATGGAACTTCTCAAACCATCAATGTACTGTGCATGCATTAGACACATCCTTCCCTAACACTTCGTTGATATTTTGAGCTGTCGGTACCGCGTTGGTTCCATGATGGAACTTACTTGAAAATAACACACAATTTTTGACTTATCCATGGTTTCACAAAAATTGCTCTAAAAAAATAATTTGAAAGATAATCACAAGCCAAACCATGTGTTTGAAGGACTAAGGATGTACCTTCACAATAAAAGTAAAACAAGATGTGTCAAAGTGAAATGTCAGAGAGATCAGTTGTCAAACTTAATACTTAAGGAAATTGGACATTTCATACTTAATAACATAATATATAGAGGAAGAAAAAGCATATTGAATTGATTCACTGTTTTAAAGATACATACAAATACTGCTTAGCCAGGTGAGGTGGTGAGCACCTGTAATCTCAGCTACTTGGGAGGCTGAGGCAGGAGGATCACTTGAGCCCAGGAGTTTGAGGCTATGGGGCGCTATGATCGCACCTGTGAATAGCCACTATAGTCTGGGCAACATAGTGAAACCCAGTCTTTCAAAAAAGAAAAATATTGCTTAAAACAATTGCCTGCCATGTCAATCTTAGTTTTGTTGTTGTTTTAGAGGTGGTACCTCACTTTGTCACCCAGGCCCTGATGTAATGGCTGATCGTAGTTCACTACATGTGGGCCACAATGCCCTGCTAATTTTTGCTGCTGCTGCTGTTTTTTTTTTTTTTTTGTTAAGAGAGATAGGGTCTCACTTTGTTGCCCAGGCTGGTTTTTAATAAAGGGGTGGCTCTTCTATTACATAGAGTATGTGGTATTATATAATAATGTGGTATGCATGTTTGAAAACATATAAAAATCTCCATTTTGTTTAAGACTATATAAAATGAACATAAAATGATCTTGTTATGAAGAGTGGTATATTAGTTTAAAAATCGTTTGGCTTTGAAATAGAAATTGCTGTATTGTTGAACTGAAACATTCCACTTTATCAGTAAAGGTTGCACAAAGGTTTTATACCTTTTAACAATCCGTTTTTACATTAAAGGAATCTTTTCCATTTTACTAGAATGTTCCAGAAGTAAATAATGAAAACAGTGAAATGTCAACTGAAAAATTAGAAAACACTATCATACAGAAATATTCTGAGCAAGAAATAAGGGAAGAAAATACTGAGAGTTTTTGTTCAGATACTGGATACAGAAAAAAGGAGGAAAAGAAAGAAGGCCCATCTGTAGAAGAAATCGTTATAGAAGGTAAAAATTATATTGATATTTTCTAATTTGTATACTGAATTTTTTTTTTTTTTTTCAAAATAAAGGATCTGCCATAGTGCTGTGCTGGGCCCTCTGTGGAAGTTAGGGGAATTTCAATTACAGTCTTTGCTTTGAGAACCTTGTAGTGTAGTTGAAGAAACACTTACCTTTTCATTTGTATACGTCAACAAAATAAGCATCCTTCAAGCTATTCTTTTATAGTCAATATTTTTGGGAAAACTACATTTCTGTCCCCCTCTCATCACTTATTCCTTCGATTTTTGAATTCTGGTTTATGCCTTCACTGCTTTACTGAGAATGTTCTTGGAGTCATCAATAGCCTTTTGCTGACCAGACCTAGAGTACTTAATTCAAATGACCTTTCTGTAACCATTGAAATAATTTACTAATTTCAATCTTTGAAAAAGAGTTGTTTAAAGATGATGCTGAGTAAAGGTGTTCAAACCTAGGCTGAACAACCACTTGGTGGAGATGTTGTAGAAAGAATGATTGGACTAAAAAAGGCCTTCAAAGACCTGAAATTTGTATTCTAGATTATTTTAATTATACTAAAAATTTGAAGTCTATTGTTAAAACACAGATGAATAAAATTAATGTCTTGATTAAGTAGTTATTCTATACACTGCCCAAAATTATTCCAGAATTTAAAAATATTCACAGGGCAGTAAATAAAATAGTGATGATTGTCAGTCTCGAAGAAGCCAGCTAGCAATTTCTGGATGTTTCTGGACCTGGGTAGTAATAGAAATTAATGTAACCTGTTATCATAAATTAATTTTTATCAGCTATGTGTTTATATGGAATTCTGCTGTCTGCCTTAAAGGAAGCAATAGACTAGAGAAATAAATCATTTTGTAATATCTCAACTTCCCCTTATTTAAGCCAAAAATACTTTTGCTATAATGAAATAAAAACTTAATGTGGGTAGAGTCAAGTATTTAGCATGCTGAATATATGTTTGTTATAATAAAGGGAACCTAATATTTAGGTAAAATTGATGTCATCAAACTTGTATAATTATTGGCCAATAAAATACTTATGGCTAAATATGTTTTTAAAAAAATAGGTGATATGTTTTTTAAAATCAGGCTTTAGTGTATAATATAAAAGTTTACTGTGTTCCTATCATGACAGATTTACAGCTTTTTGAAAAAAGCTTCAAGAATGAAATTGATACTACTGTATCTCAGAATGAAAATCAAAGTGAAATCTCCCTAAGCAAAACCCTCTGCTTAGAAAGAGAAGTAATTCCTCAAGGACAAACCTTGAATGTTACTGACATGAGAAAATCAGTTCCTACAGAAATAAAAGACATGATGTGCTTAGAAAAAGACACTGGACGTACAGAATTTAAAACACCAAATAATCCTTTTTTAGTGGTAGGTATAGCAGTAGAAACAGAAAAGAGAAATATAGAAAGAAATGAAGGATTAGAATTAGATCTTCACCGTGCAGATACACACCAGGAGGATGAAAACAACACAACATCATTTAACAGTGTTTTAAATGAGACAGCTCACAATGCAAATCATAATAAAGATGTTTCTGAAAATGAATCATTCAGACAATTCAGTTCACTCCTGAGGACTGAAGAAAATGCTACAGAGAAGGAAAATAGAGACCAAACCAAAGCAGATTTGGATACATCTCTAGATGTAAAGAAGAATCCTGTTCTGTGTCAGAAACATAGTTTACAGGATTCCAGTAATGTTATGTTAGATGATAAACAATGTAAAATGAAACAAATACAACTGTTAAATAAAAAAAGTGAGTGCAGCACATTACCTTTTAAAGAAGCTTCAGATTTTCAGCAGCTCTGTAATGATACTTCAGAGAAAACTGAACTAACTGTTCCCTGTGATTCAGTAATTGATCACCGCATTTCATCTGTATTCAGTGACAATTTGAAAGTACTTAAGAATGCAGATAAAAATGTTAACAGTATGCCTATGTTGGTGAAACCCAATTCAAGCCCTGGGGAAAGAACTATCTGGAAAAATGTGAATGATATTCAAAACAGTCAGTTTAAGAACTGTATAGGATATTTAGAAAACAATGATGTGACCATTTCCCATCTTCAAGTTAATGATGAGAATAGTCATGCTTCACAAGCCAAAGATGTGAAAACTGCTGTTCACCCAAAAACTTCCACAGCAATACAGTTTTCTAATAAAGAGAGACAGATTGATGAGAATCAGATAACTGAAGCCACAAAAAATGACCTCTTCCTTTTTGTGAATGTTAATGAAAGACAGCATACATTGTTAAATAATACAGAGAAAACAGAGTCATTAAATGACATCGTTTCAGGAAAAATGTACAGTGAAGGACAGCTGGAGGAATCACATTCATTTCATATAAAGCCATCTGGAGATTTAGTAAGTAGAAGTGGAAGGTCAGCCTTTGATCCTTCAGCTTCAGATAAAAAAACTGAGAAAACTCCAGTATACATGAATTTTTCAGAACCCAGTCCTTGGTCAAAAGTAAATCAAATTGAAAGTCAAACAGTGGGCATTTCAACTTCTAGCATTTCTTTGTTGCTGAAGGAGAGACCAATAGGTCCATCAGAAAACAGAAAGATAATTTCAATGGCTCTTTGTAAAAATGTTGATGTGGATGACATCAGAAAAGATATTGGACCAGGTAAGAAAATAAGGATATGTTTTAATTCTTAAAATATGTTTTTCTACTTATTCTTGATAAAAAGTCTCCAGATTGTTAAAATGAAAATGTTTATACTAATTGTTGCCTAAATCTAAAGTGCTGCATACACATGTGCATATGTAACAGTAGGAAAGGTTTTATTAATATTTAAAAGGAAGCGAATTTCTTTTCACCTAAATCTGGGCTAGTATTATCAATGTGTACAATCACATTTTGGAAATTTTTAAAAGTTTTTTTTCATCATTAAGGAATAGCAAAATCAACAGTTCCAACATTAACTTTAAATTAGGAACAACTACCCAATCCGATTCTTTTTTTAAAAAAAAAAACTATCTAGAGCAAATGTAGCGAAGTAGTTGTGAACTGTGCATGTGTGTTTATTTTTCTTTCCATACTCTCAGATCTTTAAAAATTTCCTTCCCTCTGAACCACATTTTAGTTTCTCTCTTATGTTGTCATTTTCTTTGCCTAATTTTCTCCCCTTTCCCTTAATTTTTCCATTTTTATCTGTCCCTTCACTAGCACCATAAATCCAGCTTTCTTCTGTTTTATAAGCAATTCTCCATATTTCCTATCGCTGATATTTGTCACTGTTTGAAACACTTTAAATCCCATAATGTTTTTATTTAAATACTTTCAAATGTTAAATACTTTAGAGAATAGAGGGGCAGTTCTGTTCTTTAAAACTTCCATGTGAAATGACTTAATTTCCAAATTTTGCTTTACAATACCCCCAAAAATAAATAAAATAGGTGAATGGATGAAATACATGATTTAATACTGATGGGTGTTTGAAGTTGGGCAATGGGTACATTGACGTTCATACTCTCCACTTTTGTGTTTGAAATTTTTCATAAAAATGTTTTAAAATAAAAACATACTGTGTCTTGAATAACTATGAGGTTATTAAAGACATTTTTACATTTTAAGGGAACTTTGCTGGGTTTAACAATGTGCATTTAGACCCATTAAAGAAATGCAGATTACAAGGAAAGTTTTGTATGGTCCTTTTAACAGGCTTCTTTCACAAAATTGAGAAAAATTTAAAAAGAATATTTGGGGATTAAAAACAAAATAAGTGTATCTTGTTTACTAGCACCAATGGAAAGTAATGTAGGGAAAAATAAACAATAGCCAAAATACTGTATAACCTCATTTCCCAAACTGTAATTTTTAAATATAATATGTATTACTTCAGATTCCGTTGGAGGTAGTCAAGTGCTGCTTTAGGGGCTGGTCTACCATTTACCATTTTCTCAAAGGTCTTTTCTTCTAAGTTAAATTTCAGTGATATAAATAAGATATAAAGGGAGATAATCTAAAATTCTATAGAAATTCAACTTGTGAAATACTCTTAAACGTACCGTATCTTTTAACCTCTATAGTTGACATTTCCTTAAATCATTTTTATCTATTTATTAAAGCTCAATGACCCTTTCTAAACAGCCCTTTGTTGGGATTCTTAATGTGGCTAATTTCTTTAAATATCATTTATAAATCTGGCATTTAGTTGGTTCAGACTTTTTCCATTAAACTGAATTGGTACAATGTTCACTATATAAATGTTTACATGTGTAGGCAATGCAATGACCAGGGGAATAAGGATAACATTTTATGTGAGTTATTTTGTTTTAGAAGATAATTTATACCATTTCACTCCTTTTAATGTGGAATTATAGTAATCAGGTTTTAGAAAGTAGCAATAATAAAATCTTATGTTTTCTGAAATGAAATGCCTAATATAAGAGCAAAGTCTAGGAAAACTATAAAATATTCAAAATAAAAGGAACACAGAAATTGTTGCTTTTTAAATGCAAAAGCATAGGATCAGAGAAAAACAAGTTCAGTCACTAAGATAAGTGCCTAGAGAATAAAATTCAGTTGCTGCCATTTCCTCTTTGTCAATCAGATACTACCAGCATTAACAGAGTTGCTGACACTTTGAATAACTGGAGTATCCATCCAGATCCCAAGGGAGAACCCAGTGAAGAAAGGAATGCAACTGCAAAGACTTTTTATGATTCTTCTTTTCCCACAGAACATGTAAGTCAATTAAAAATATTGCCGAGCAGACCTTAGTGAGCTAATTCTACAGATATGTGTAGAACTGTACGCATCTGGATGCTTTAAGACCTAACTGATCTCCAAAATAATATCAAGAGGGCAACATGGCACCATTTTTCACAATTAAGGTTGATAGAAAACAGCAGGAAAAAGTCACAGTGTATAAATCAAATAGATATAATGCAGCCTGTTTTGTAAAGGAGAATGTGAGGCATCGGATTATGTACTTCTATTTTTTACTCACCTAAATTTGAAAATAGTGGCATTTGAGTATTTAAAAGTTTATATTAATAAAAGATGACATCTAAAAAAGCTAAGTCAAGTCCAGTTGTTTTTAATAACGTTTAGGTTAATTCAATTATTTTTGGAACCTGGCTGTTAAGATGAAAGGAATTTATTTAAAATTATTTCAATTAGAACACAGTATGTGAAAGGATCAAATATCCACAATGTGATACAATAGTAAGTATGGCTCTATATATTAAGCAAAGTATTTGTAGAGATTATATGGCTCCCACGAGTCCATTTGTCATAAGAAAAGCAACTAATTGTAGCAGGAAAGTTATTTGGTTCAACTTTTAAGTTTTATATCGTAGTGTGTAGAACTTTAGCAAGAAAAAGTCTGTACTGTTCAAAGTGAAAAAAACAATTGTAGATGTAACTGCTAAAAAGTGGCCTCAAAGTTAGGAAAGCTTATAAAACAGTAACTGCATAGTGACAGATTTTAAAGTCATTGTATATTTTAAGTTTTAGAGATGCACATTAAACAACCTTCTCTTTAGTAAATACAAAATGAAAACTGTAGTACTAACACATCCTTAACAAATAATTGTTTTTAAGAATGTATTTTTATATTTTCCTTTTTAAGTAGTAGAAACCTCAAGTGAGAGAGTATAACTCTCCCTCTTGGAGAGTTGAAATAAAAATCAGGATCTAACCCTTTTCACATTTTCATAATTGATCTCAGCAACAACAATATAGTTTCAACTTGGTGTGTATCTTTAAAATATGGTAACTAAAGAGCACTAATTTTGGCACTGGGAAAAGCTCAGACCTTGGCCAATTGGGTAAGTCATACAGTCAAAGCAAAGGGGAAGCTTGAGAGTATCAAAGCTAGACACTCATTTCTAATTAGGCTGAATACTTAACACTTACAAGATAGCTGTTGTATTTTCAAACAGTTTAAAAGAGTATACGATGGAAGTTTCGGGTCTCCCTGGAAAGCCTATTTTTATAATTAACCTAACAAGGAAGTTCTCTAATTCCTAATGCTCATCCTGCCATTAATGTTGCTTTTAAGAATTCATGTTTATAGAATTATAACTTCTTCAAAGAAATAGTTCTCCACCATCCTGTAAGGTAAGTAATTTTTTCTGTTTTACATATAGGGAAACAGTGACAAATGTGAAATAACTTTCCAAGGTCATGAAGACAATCTGTGGTGGACCTAGACTAGATGTCTTGGCTCTTAGTCAAATGTCATATTACACTTTCTCAACTTTGATAATAGAAACAATGTTTCTTCTCAAAATACCAGTAGATATAAAACTAACTCAGTACTCTGGCTAAATCCATTTTCTAAGTGCTTATTACTATGTGCCAAGCACTATGCTAAGCATCATTGTTCTAGTTTTAAGCTTGATTATCACTTATGTAATGTGGGACAAATCCAAAAGTAGTATTTTATTAGAGGACCACCACGCCCATTCCTTTGCATATTGTGAAAGTTGCTTTTGCACTGCAGTGACAGAATTAAGCAGGCCATTTGGCCTACAAAGCCGAAAATATTTACTATCTGGCTCTTTACAGAAAAAGTTTGTTAACCTGTTCTAAATGAAGACAAATGAATTACGGCCCGAAAAGGAACAGAAGTTTTTTATTTTTCAACATATTTTTATGTACACTCTGCACATTAATTTTGTTAAACTCGGGGCAGGTATTAGGTGCCAGTCCACTTTCTCCCTGTGGGTTCACAGCAACTTGAAATGATAAGGTATGTTTTTTTGTTCTTGAAGAGAGTTAGGTTGGTAGTCTGCTACATCTTGATGATATCCAGGAATGAGGATGGAAGAGAAGACCCCAAATAAGCAAAGCAAGCCACTTATTTTATACATCCAATGAATTAGGTTCATTTAAGTTAAATTTTCAAAATACCATCCCATGCTGAAATAAAAGGACCAGTAGTACCAAGTGAGGGGAAATTTTTCGGCCAAAAAGTATGGCTGTGAAAGAGGAAGTAGGGGGGTGACAAAAAAATTTTTCTACAAGAGATAGGAAGAGAACAAGCAAAGTTTTATGTCAATGTAACTGGCAATAGCTACAAGTAAAATTACTGCAGTAGGCTGAAGTAAACCTCAGGTAAGCTAAATGGGACCAGTTTTGTTAAGTGCAAACCTTAGTCTATACTGTATCTCTTGTTTCTCTGCAGCCCATCCCTGCTCCCACCCCTTCTACCAAGTGTGGGTAGTTATGGAGAAAGAAACCAAATCAGATATGTCTAAATGTGTCCCCTCTTTCCAACATCTTGAAGTCAAAGAATCAGGATTTGGGGAAATTGCTAATTTGTACTTGGATGCCAAATGTACCAAAATGCACAAAGCATTTTGATGGCAAGATAGGACCATTAAATTATACAGATCATCAGTCATTTTTCTTCAAAATTATTAGCAACCTAGATTTAGATTTGATCTGTGTCTTCCCATCTATTCTCGGTATTGTATGGATCACTTGGAAGTGTGAATTTAACCATTCTAAACATTTAAGCTCATTTAAAAAATTAACTTACTACTACATAATCTCACATTGAAAATGACAATCTTACAACACTTTTACTAGTCAAATTGGAAAAGTTTTTAATGTAAGCAATACCTCAGAGATCTTCAGAGATTTATGAACAAATGATTCTTTGCAGCCTAATTTGTAACAGTGATCTCCTTACAATTTAAACGTCCAACAATACACATCCTGTTAATAAATTTTTAACAGGCAGAAATGTTAAAAATTTTTTTTTTTT